CAGTAAGAACAGAAACCCCTGAAAAGGCTGTAAAGACAAAACCAGAATGACACATAACTTAGAACCCCGTAACTGCTTGTGGAAGCAGTGGAAGGGTTATTGCCATATAAAACCTACTGTCTCCAATTCTTCTGTATTGAAAACAGCCAAGAGAATAAAAACAAGAGGAAGAATGTCTAAGAGCACAACGCAGTTAGAGGGATTAGAAATTCAAGCTTACTGCCATCATGTTCTACTTTGCTTTCCTCAAGCATGACAAAAGCATCTCTGACAAGTGTTTACTGAATTCCACATGGTATTTAGCATATGATGCAAGCCTTACATGTATGGATATCCCCATTTGCCTCACCTAATGCAAGAGGAGGAATGCAGAATGTGCTAAACTTCAGCTTACAGAAGCAGATGAAAGAACCACCCCATGATACCAACCAAAACCCTTTCCATCTGTCCCTCAAGCTTCCACCTCTAAAAAGGCTTCTTTGTGTGGAATTTATGAATGAGGTTAGGGCTTACAAAAGCAAAGGATTAATAACATTTGCTTGGGCCAAAAATAGTATGATAGGCACCATGCACACTCCCCTACACAGCTCTGCCAATCCATCTCCAGTCTGACCTGCAGTACCCCCGCTGCTTTTCCAGTCCTAGGCCTCTCACAGGTAGAGACTGCCAACGCAGCTGAGTGGTGCCAAACTGTCTGGTGGTTTTGTGATATAGCCAAATGGGAACTACGATGAGATGAAACTCACTTCCACCCATGAGCTGAGCAAAGATGTGAACTCGGGAAAGGATGGAATAGTGCTGTCCTTACCAGCCACATACTTACAGAAAACCTCAACAAACAAAACAAAAACCTGACAACAAACCCTGTATATAGATTATTTGACACAGAAAGGTATATTGAGTGAATATCCAAAAGATCCACAAAAAAAAAACAACAAAACCCAGAAGTATTTACAGTTTACTTTGACTTGCAAAAGAGGAGGACTGTCAGAATGGAATGCTAGACAATGCAAAGAATCTTTGACCTAGATTTTGAAAGGGAATTATGGAAGGCAAGATAAAACAAGTGGAGCATAAATGGTTTTAACTTTACCACATTAGCTCCTGCAGTGCCAATTTAAACTACCACTTTCTATTAAAAAAGAAAAAGGTTAAACTGGGTGGTATTCAGTTCTAATTTAGAAACTCAATAGAAACCTAATGTTTAAGTCACAGTTGTAGCAGCTGAAACAGTATTTAAAACTGTAGCCATCCTGACCCAAATATAAAGGGAAAAAGGAAACCCTTTCCTCTAAAACTATTACTGTAGACGTGGTTCTAGGGATTGCATCAGCTGCTGAGGCTACAATTTGAGCTTTTTTTTTTAATTAAAGATACATATTAGCATTACAAGGGAGAGGAAATAGAATTTTGTTGTGTTTAAGAAGTTTAATCTATGTACAGAATCAAGGGTCTTGAAATAAAGCTAGATAAAGTTAAAAACCCAACCTATTAAAACAAGTTCTCTACTCATTTTTAAGTATCCCAGTGGCTTACATTACAGAGAAAAAACAAAACCTCTCTAAGCAATATCTAAAAGTTTTCATTTGTAAAGCAAAATTTACATGTCCCAGCTACATGCATTTATTACAAATTCACATGCCAATCTTCTCACCACATTACACTGAGACTTCAAATCCTCATTTTTCCCCCTTTTTTATCTAAGCATGGCTTTTACCATCATTTTATTTAGAAATTTTGTGAGTTTCTTCTTTTTTGATAGCAAATTGCATTATTTTACACTCTTTTTGTTTTTTACTCAGGAAAAAAAAAAAAAAAGAGACTCACAGCACTTCCCAAAAACAGTAAGGGATGACTGGACAAAACATTGCAAACACTTTACTAGTCCATGGGACATCTGGTGATGAGTCTCTACACAGACCCTGCACATTATAAGAATGATTACAGAACAGTAAATGTTTTCTTAAAAGTGTAACTTTTTACAAAGACCTAGAGAGAACAGTAAAAGAAAGAGTTTTATAAAATGTAGTTTAGTAATATTCAACTGCTTTTACCTGTATAACGGAAGTATCCTCTCCAGTGTTTGCTGAAACCAATGCTAACAGAGGGAGAAAAGAGGTTTAGACTTATTCCAGATTATATATTGGGCTCATTTTCCAAGGTAAGTTTCAAACATATTGACTATTGAATTCAAACATGTAACATGTCTAAGTCTCTGATGCTGGAGTAAATTGAAGATACATCTGTTCTGGTGCCTGGGGTAAACCAGAAACAAAATGTAAATATAAACCCCACCCATCCTCCATAAAGGAAATAAAAGTCAATATTCTGTAGAAAAAAGTGAATTCCACTGCTTTTCAGAACTCTTTTTAACAGAGATGAAGAAATGTATAAGACTAAATCTATAGAGCTATCTATCAGCACAATTATATCCATCAAAAACATTTAAAAGGTATCCCTGACCTGCAGTTTATCCCGCCAAAGCCTCTAGCACTGCAGTTATATAGTCAAACCTGCTTTTGCTGGCATAACTACTTTGACGGACTGCGCTCAATGTGTATGTAGTAAGTTATGCTGGAAAGACAGGAGTTTATAGAGTATGAACTACATCCACATTCACAGTATTTTGCCAGAAGAGCACATTAGCCAAGCAATCCTAGTATGGTCTTGCCCACCTTCAAGCTTTTGATTTCATCATCAGTGTAAAAATCTGCTGGCAAGCTTTGCACTCTGCTCCTGTAACTGACCAAGCAGTTGCAGGTTGTGCCACCCACAGAGACTTTCACATCAGCACAGCCTGCCACCAGTATGTCACTCTGTCTCTATATGATCAAAGACTGGATCAGAATCTTCTTCAGCGTATCTGCACATCCATAACCATCTACCTATAGGTCTCATTATCAAGGATGCCAAATTCCCCTGTTGGTGTCAGAAGCATTTGAAATTATCAAAGCACATACAGAAGATAAGATCATATACTCAAGCTCCTCATGCAAATAATATTTTAATGTCTGCCACTCAAGTTTGGATGTTCTAAGCCTTGTTTTTCCTTTCTGTGGAAGAAAGGAGAGTAACCATTACAAATGCTTCAAAACTTATACTGCGTTTTGGACCTGAATACCAAAATAAGATGAAATCAGTCTGTAAAGCCTCTGTTAATTTGGTTTTGACCAACAACACGTATCTTATAAACTTCACTTCAGCATTACTGCAAACAGTGGTAAATATTATGGTACTTAAGGGCATCTGTTTTAGTTCACTATATCAGTTAATAGTGCTTATCAGCAACAGAAGGCTGCACACTAATATTCCCAAGTATACTTTATATTGCAAGTCAAAGACAAACAGTGTGGGTATTTGTTCATTCTTTGAATATACAAGTTACCACAGTTTTGCTAAAAAAACCCTCTGTATTAACTCAGAAGAACAAGAGTAGCCTTGACTTAAAAGATGGTGAAATGAACTGTTTAATCACATCTTTTTATCACAACAGTGTCTTTCTTCCCAACTGCTTACCAAAGTACTGACATCCAAAGTCTTGAGACAAAAAAAGAAATTCCTCATAAACGCCACTCACTGGAGTCAGGAGATCTTACTGGTTAATCATTTATACATATTTTACATCTGTAGGTATCCAAACATACACACATAAGAAAAGGACTGGATCCCAGAAGTACACTGGGATGGCAGAGTGAAGCACAGATCAAACAGATGTGCTCTGAGGTGCTCTGACTGCATGTAACACATGAAGAAAGATCATTTCATAGAAAAGAAAACCTCCTGCACTTCTCAGTTACCTGCTGTGTTGACAGGGAAGAAATTGAACCTGTGATTACGGGTGATATGCCACTGATAACTCTAGTATACTTCAGTCTATCATCAATGAAGTAATGAGTACATTATTTACAGAAAATCATATTCATTACCTACTAACCCAAAACACAGTGCTTCAAAGACTTCCACTCTTGGGCTTGATTTTTCTGTAACAAAGTGAGTACATTCACACTGCCATCTCTCAATTGCTTTTCCTGCCTACATAGATCATAAACCTACGTGGTCAAGGAAATTATTATTTTCTTCCCCACAGACAAGAGCTGCTTTTTCTGACTTTCAAACCTCTGTACCTCAGAAGTCTGTGCAGAATGTCACAATTCCCTTTTCCTTTCAGCATTCATCCACACTTATGCCCAAATTCTGAAAGAAACTTAAGCCCCATTAAATTTCAAGGAAGCACTTTTCTAACTTAAGAGCCAGAGACACCTTAGAAATAAGACTATATTAAGAAACACAAATCATCACTGAAATGTAAGGCCATGTCTTTATGTAGCTAAATGGAGAGGTAGGTGCCCAACTTTTAGCCTTCAGGTTTGACCTCATTAACTTTCAAATTCCCAACAGTTGGTACTTTTATTTCTGGTCTACCACTGAACAGACAAAGATTTGTGCCTACAGCAAATGCTGAACTCAATTCTCTTCGAAACAGTTGGGTCAGGACTGAAACTAGAAGAAATGTGTAATTTTAAACTGCCAGTCCTTTCTCCATCAGCTGAAGATCTTTCCCATCCTACTGGCCAAAAGTAGGCAAGTAGGATGTGAAACCTACCAAGAAACCTGGCATTAAATACAACAGCATATTTTAGTGGTTAATTTCTGGGAGTTAATATAGGTAGGACTGTGATCCAGAACATGGCTCTATACCATTATAACACACACTGGAGTATCTTCTTTATAGCAAGGAGATAGAAAGATACTGTGAGGGTAATATCTGAATTAGAGACTGCTAATTCTTTGAAGTCTTAACCATGTAGAGTCTTAACACTGAAAAAAAAATCAGTGCCTGGGCAGCAATGCACTGCTGAGCTCCAGTTTTGCCGAAAGGTGCATATATATGAGAAAGAAGAATGAAGTGCTATGACAGCCCACACTAATATTCACAAGCATATTTTACAGTATTGGAATGAAGTAATTTAACCCTACAGTTAAAATATATTAAACAATACCTGGCAGGAGCCGTTGGGTAAATAACTTTTATATGTTGGAAAGCCATGTCTTGATTCAAAATTTGTTTTATCCATGCTCTTGCTCCCTGGCCAGTATCACCTGTATCACACAGAAGAGTACAAGAATTATTCTGTGCATTTGGAAAGAAAGCTATACAATGTCAAATACATTCAGACCAGATTTACCCAATTTCTAAATCACAAAGTTAATCCTCCAAAATGCTAAAAAAGAACTTTGCAAAATAACTTTAATCCCCTTTCCAGGGAAGACAAACTCAAAACTTCATAGAAATAGACTACTTAAGAGGTCCCACAGCATAAGTTTAATAGTTTACTTAAGTATCTCCTAATCAAGCACAAGGCCTTCCCTCTTACTTGCAACTTACCTTACTTCCTGGTAACAGTGATAAAGAAATACTGATGAACATCTTAAAAGAAACCTGCTGCTCCCCTTAGAAAATACAATTATTTTTACTACAGAATTTTATGTTACCCACTTCAAAACCTAGTCAAGAGCAATAATCTTCACTTTTAATTATGCTAATATTACACATAGAACTTAAGGCAAGTGTCAAACATAACATTTTGCAGAAGTGCATAAGAGTTCACATTAAAACATCTGTCAGACTCCTTTAAAACCTTAATCCCATGGTTCTCTTTCAAAGCTAGTCAATATTTGGCTGTCAATGTGTTTTTACCTAGTCTTATCAACTCCACCTATAGCCAAAACCCTGCAGACTGAAGTGCTAATGCAGACAGCATATGCTCCTTTCAAAAAACTATACACATATACATTAGACAGTTTCTAGAGCTTGCCTTTTCATCACTGTTATCTTCAGCTATAACTTCACTGCCACCCTTCTGAACAGCATGCTCACACACGTCTCCAATTAGACATCACCACAGGACTTTAGTCTTGCTGGAAGTCAAGGCTCCTTCATTCTCATCAACTCAAACTGTTAATCTGAGTTAATGATATTCTCTATCATCTCAAGATGATCAGTTTGACTTCAGGACTCATCCTACTCTTTTCATTAAAATGGCCAAACCACAAGAAAAAAAATACCACTGCCCTGAGCCAGGCTTACTGCCATGTCACACGGTTTCATTTGAACAATATCCCACAAATACACCAGTTTGCTGTTACAATAACTCCCCAGTGGAAAAAGATCTGTTTTGCTTTAGCACTTGAACAAAATTCAGTGATCTTTATTTACAAATACAATTAATGCATCTTCAGAATTAAAACAGAAGGCAAGAAAGAGTCAAACCCAGCATTTTAACTGTTAAGCACAAACAGTATAACCATTTTCTCCTTGACTTAAGATATTCCAAGTAACAAGTAAGTAATAGGGTCATAAAACTGACACAAATCTTATTCTGTGCTACCTTAAGCAGGAACATCAAAGCTTCATCTTTAACCTGGATGCTTCAAAACACATTCCCACCAGCACTTCACTTATATGCACAGTATGGTCTGAAGTCCAAACACACCTCTTACAAGTAGACATGCTTGACACGCAAGGGTTTCCTCATGGTTGCTGTCACCTAATTTATGAACATCTCTTAAGGAGGTTTTAATAAACATTGTTTTCCTACACACTTCTCTTTTTTCAGCTGAAAGCAAAAGTCTAGGCTTCGCAAATACTTTCACAGGACCAACTAACTCTCAGGTAGGCATCAGCTTAAGCAGCATCTGAATGCTTACAAAACTGGGACTTACTTAGGCCTTTAAAAACTCCCTAACAGTGCAGGACACATCTTTTACTATTCATTCACACTTCTTGAGCTTCGCCAAGATCAGCAGAAACCCTTACAGTTAATGAAGCTATTTTGTCCATGAAAAGTTAATGGAAAACTTACTGAGAGAAAATTTAACTATGACCTTATGCCAAGAGTCCCTATGGTCCTAATGCTCTGCAACTGCTGCAAGCACCTGCCTGCAGAGGTAATGCATTTTGATTTGTAAGAATAGAATTTGGAGGGGAAGGAGAAAGAAGAAACTGGCACCAAACAAAACCCAGTAACCTTCTGAAAGGTGTGTCTTTCAGGCCATTCTTTGATTTTAGCATTATATGTTCTTATGAACACTGAAAAGAAGAAAACAATGCACAGAGAATTCTGCCTTGAGTCTTGAGTTCATTTACAAACTTGAAATAAACTTATGGCAGCAATATTATCCTTTTCTCTCCCTCCCAAATAAAACAACTTATTTTCCTTTCAAATACAGCTTGAATTTCCAATTTTCTTTCTGTGTGAAGTTTAAATTTAACAACATGCAACATGTAGACTGGAAGAGGTGCCTCACTGGAAGGGCTGTCAAGCATCGGAATAGGCTACCCAGGGAAGTGGCAAGTTACCACCAAATACCACCCCGGAGACATCTGAAAGACATGTAGATGTGGTGCTCAGTGACATGGTTTAGTGGTGGACTTGGCAGTGTTAGGTGAACAGTTGGACTTTATGATCTCAAAGGTCTTTCCCAACCTGAATGATTCTATGTATGTGACAGCATGCAAAGTTGTAAACCTAAGTCTAAAAAAATTATTATACCTTTGTTATGTCCACTTGCCTTCCCTGCTGAGCTACCAAATGGATCTTCCACCTAAATCTGAAGTGCAGTTCTGACTGGGAATCTCCTAATGTTTTTTTATATCATTTTGCATTTACATTCTCCACTTGTTATAATTTGTCTGCAGCAAGCATTATGAACAAAATGGATTCATGCCATTTGATTGCCACTTTCCATCACAAGCACTGTACAGAAGGTTTACAGGCCAGCCCACAGCAGTGGCACTGTACCTACTTAAGATTCTATTCTGCTGAACTACTAAATAAAACCAAATAAAAGTACCCTCATGCTTCCCTACTCCAAACATTATGAAGGAAATAATATCAAAAATGAAAAATTGTAGAGTACTTTAACCACATGTGGAATTAACCTCTAACCATAATCTTCCCTTACTCCTCCGAGACGAGGGGAAATTATTTCCTCAAGCATTAAAGCATCAGCCTTAACAAGAGGGCCGAATGCATCTTGCCACCTCTCTTCCACTTTCATTCTCTAACTCAGAATTTGAAAAAAGCAAAATTAAAGATATAAAATGAAATTATTAGTTTATAAAAATGAAGCTAATTTAATAAGCCTGTACATCTTTGTTCAGCTAAAAAGAAGATTCAGCCAAAAGCAAAACTGAAAGCTAGTCATGGAAAGTGTTGAACATGTTGCCATATGCACATGGCCAGCTCAAGGCCCGTCATTACTGTTTGATTGTTGTTTGGGTTGGTTGGTTTGTCATTTTAAGTCACATGGACTTTATTGTGATTTAGTAGGTTAGAAAATGTCTAAGAAACAAACAAGAAACAAAACACACACACTGCAGGCCTGGCCTCAGCCTGGTCATTGACACAGGTAACTCCCTACACTCCGCAGGTGGTGTCCATGAACCCAGCTCGGACACGGCTAGGAGCCTTCTAAAAGACAGAAGTCAGTCTATAAACAGTGGCTTTTAAAAGCGGGCAGTACTCTCAATCTGACCCAAAAAGCACTAAGATTCACCTTAATTATGAAAGTCACCCTTTGCATGGGGTTATGCATAGAGTGAAGCAATTAAGCAACTATCTTCTGGAAAGTATTTGCTCTCGCGGTGAAGCAAACCATGCCGGCGGGTAACAGCACCATCCCTAAAACACACTCCAAGGACCCCGCTTAGGGCGAGGAGACCCAGCCGTCACACCCGGCCGAGCACACACAAACTACTTTGCCCACAGCGCATTTCTCTTTCTCGGCCAGCGCTGCTCTAATCCCAGGGAGCCGAGACCCGCAGGGACCCAAGACACCTCACACCGCTTCTCACCGCTTCCCAGCTACGAGCCGTCCCGCTGCCCCGCACGCAGCACATGGCCACCGCGGACCGAAGAGACCGACCCTGCTCCTGTCCCGCTCCCCGCACAGCGCAGAAACAGGCGGCAGCTGCCCCCTCTGCGCCCGCCGAGCCCCCTGCCCCGCGCCCCAGCCCCGCCGCAGGGTTTCAGGGGAGAGAAGAGGTACAAAGCAGCCACCTGAGCCGTGCAGGAAGATGAGGGAGGCAGTGTGCCTGCCCGCGGGGGACACCACGCTCCTCTGCAGCGCCGCAACCGCCGCCATGCCCAGCGCTCTCCTCCTCCTCCGGTAGCGTGGCTTACCGCGCCGGCGCACAGCACTCCCCAGCCGGGTGAACCAGTGCCGGGCCTGGGCGCCGGCCGTGTCTGTTTGACAGGGCTGAGCGTCCGATCTCAGAACATTAAAGTTCTCACTTTTTACACCGCTCTCCCTTACCAAAGCCTATTTACAGTCGGTGGTATGTACAGAGCACGTATTTAGAAGTGCTATATAGCAGGCAAATCGGTGATCAAACAGTAAACCGGAGTTGCTCCGTTCATGTTGAATGCGTTTGGAAAAGCGATTTAGGCTTCAGCCTCCTCAGGTGCATACTTTCAAGAGTGAAGGGTGGGTTGGCAAGAGAACTGAGGGGAGGCAGGTGGCAGAGGGCTCTGATGGCTCCTCCGAGGCACTGCAGAAAGCCTGCAAAGGCCGGTGTTAAAAAGGCCTAATAGACATTTGAAAGCTTGTCTGACATTAATCCATGTCTGAGCAAAACTGTGATGCTCTGGGTATGATGTAGGGGCATAAGGGTAGCAGCTTTTGCATTTTTCGGTAACCTATATATACCCGACATTGTAAGACTTACTTCTTTCCCTAGTGATGTGTAGATTAACCATCTGGCTGGGTGCTTTGAGGTCTGTGGCAGTGGAATAAGAATGACCAGGCATAAACCCTGCTATTGCTGTTTCACTAGGCAGGTGCAGTGCGACCCAGGGGGTGAACAGCAAGTTTACAGATTAGTTTTGCAGTTCATCATGAAGAAGGACTTTGGCAAGCCATAGGGGCACACCTGCTAGTCCTTAAAAATGTAATGAAACCTTAGCCTCTTGAGGTAGCATGTTATTACCTTCGGAATCGCCTCTGGGTTAAGTAGATGAAACATCAGTGTGTGTGTGTAATATGAAGAGCATGCTGTGCTTATATTTCTGTTTAAGTTACTGTCTTGACTACTATTTTCCTATGTATTTAGGCCATGAAATACTAGGGCCCCACTTAAATGTGCACTGACAAATGGCATGTTACATATAATGCCCCTTCAGAACGTGTGTCATCTGTCTTTCTAATATATGTACAAGCATGCTGCAGCAGGTCTAAGAAGTAAATAGAAGGAAAAAAAAATCCAGTATTTGGGGAAATGAGAAAATTGCATGGTGGAGGAGAATAGAAGATTCATCTAAAATTTTCTTCAGTGTTAGTTGCCTGATTCAAGAATACAAAATCCCAGCAAAGTAGTGCCATCATGAACAAGTCGGTATTGCCAGTGCCTATTAGCAGAGAGAAACCTTTCGGCTGACTTGCAGTATACAAACATAATTGTGGTAATTGACACATCAAGGTCCTTTTTAAAATAAATTAGCTTGGCAGGAAAGTTCAATCATTACTATGGGCAGTATTCACTCATTTAATTGTATTTATTTGTAATAATTTATTTTGCCATCTTTAATGAGCATTGTAGTTTTTGAGAGCTATTTGATATGAAGGGTGACTAAACAAAGGTACAATAGCTATGTGTGGCTTTGGACAATCTCTCCTGCACAGTTATGGCAGTAAACCATGATTAGGCCTTTTTAAAACTTATGGGTTGTCATTCCTTGCCTCTGAGTTACAAGCTTGGAGGTACAAGATTTCTTTGTGCCAACAAATAAAGCTTGATGCCAGGAACAAAACAAAGGATAAAACATCAAGCCATACAAAAATAGTACTCTAAATTTAGAGTAGTTTGTATGTTTTGTTGTGTTTTTTTTTTTAAAGAGAAACAGAAAGGCATAAGATTTATTCATTCTTTTCCATTAAAAAGCAAGCAAAGGGTTATCTGTATTTTCCCTAAGTGGAGAGGACTCCAGGGCTTCAGGGAGAAGACCTGTATTTTAAAAAAGTTAAAGAGAAAATAGCCAACTAAAGAAACCAGCGAGAAAATAGGAGCTCTGAACAAACATAAATGGAAGAGAACAGACTTACATGAAGACAACAAATCTACAGTAATAACTTGTTATTTATACCAGAGGAAAATCTTTTCTTGGGGTGTTTTTAAGTATATTAATTATATTGAATGTTAATGATATTAAAAAATATAATTTAATGACAAAAAAAAACAACACAAAAACAAACAAACCAAACAAAACCAAACCAAGAAAACCAAAAACCCCACAAACATCTAAACATCTAACTGGTCTGTATCAAGTGCTCAGAAATGGCCACAAGATGATTTTGTCATTTGGGGGAGTTTTCTGTTACTAATTAGAGGCATGATAAAGTCCCCTTCCCTCCCAGTTTTGCCTTCTGCCTGAAGGAGGGGAAGAAGAGAACATGATAGAAAAGGGTTATAACTATTTTCCCAGGCCAAACCTATGAAGTGCAGATGTAACCGATGGAAACCATGAAAATCATGGCTGCTGCTAACACCTAGCTTTACTAAGTGAAAGAACTATCCTGAATGAATTAAAAGTATGTTAATAACTGTAGGAAATTACAGGCAATATGAAAATAGCTTGCAAATTTTGTTAAACTAACTTATGCTTAAGTTCTGATGCTTATGGTGTTTTACAAGCCTTTCACTGCTGACATGTAACATCTCCAAAAGGAATTTATTACATTTCATAGTGTCAATAAAATGTCCTCCCACACCCTTAAAAATATATTTGGTTGCAATTGCTTCTCTTTTTATTATTTTTCTCTAGGCTTAATGAAATAAATGGATCAAATTTTGACTTAAATGCTAAATAAATATCAACATGTAAGTATGTGACATATTTAACTTTTCTAAAGAAAGTCAATGTTGAATGTGAGCTGTGTCCTGTTCCTTAGGATGGGCTTTTGCTCACAGTGCTCTCTGTTCTCTCACACTGACTCTATTCAGAAGAAACCAGAAGAGTTTAATTTACTTGCAACCATTTTGATATTTTTCTCATTTAAAATGGCTTTGCACTTTAAAATTAACTTTAGTTGAAAACAGTATGTTGCAGAGTGTTTTTTATGTACTGCATGCGTACATATAAAATATCCAGAAACATTGCTGTAGCTATATATGCAGAACTAAAGCTCTTGAACCCCCCAGAGAAAAATAGCTGGTAGATATTGTACAGTTATTATATTTTGGTAAGTGAATTAACCCACAAATGCTTCATCGATGATTACAAAGAAGTATAATTGATATCTAGTTGGTTATCTTTACATTTAGGTGATTTTGACAAAAGCAATGATTTTGGTATGGAAGTATAAATACCAAGTATTTGGATCTTTCCACACACCCCTTTTAGTTCTTTTCAGTATTGTGTCCTTATCATCACTATATAAGATCACATCATTGATATGTAGTCTTTACTGCTTGAGAGGTAGCTATCTTATACTTGCTTTCTTCATTATTAAAGGTATTAAAATTAAATGCTGAATTTCTTTGCCTCTTTTGTGCATTCCTTTTAACTCCTACCCTTCTCCCAGTATTTTACAGGCTGAGGGGTCTGTCCAATAATTTTAAGACCATTATGCCAGTTACTGTGACCTGACAAAAATAACTATCCTCAAATTTGCAGGTGGTTTCATTCACTGGGAATCAGGGGCAATGCTTTGACATGGAATTTATACGGCATGGGTATTGTTTTAGGTCTTCTAGTGTACATGTTGGCATAGTTTATTCTAAAAAGTTGTTTTAAAGAGTTCTCTGCGCAACTGCCACAGTAGAGGTAGGAAGTGCCATAGGGATTGTTATTCAGGTGCACAACCTTGTAGTGTACTTATCACAATAAACTATTTGTACCCTCACCAAGCCAAATGACAAATATATTTCTGTTGATATTTTTTAATTTTTTAATTAAAATTTTAAAAATTTTTAGCAAATTATCAACAGTCAAAATATGTAAATTTTGAAACTCATTTTTCTGTCCAGCCAGAAGTATATTTTGATACTGAGCTCTCCTAGAAAAATAAGGTCCCTGGCTAGGCTACATCCATACAGTTGTGCATCACAGATATGATTAACCATGGAGTTGGGTGGGGGAAATCAGTTCACAAAGAGAAAAGCAAGTTGTGTTCTGCATGTGAATACTGTCTGGCAAAAAGGGATCTGGGCCCAGTGTTTCTAGTTACCACAGCAAGGTAAACAAGTAATAAATAAACAAATCGTGTTCTTTTTGGCCCAAGAGATAATTGGTATTTAGGGTCTTGTGAGATAATTTTGCTAGCAGGAGCCAGCTATTTACTGCATGCCATCCTATTTGTTTAAAAACAAATGAGGGCACAGTCCCAGGGACAACAGGAGGCAGTTCCCTTCATGAGCCTGCAGCTAGCCAACACCGTGCCAAAACAAATGCAGGCTTGGCTACACTACTGGTGCCTGTGTGTTTCTTCTCTTTGTTCTCTGCAGCGCGTTTGCTGCTTCTGAGTCATTTGGATGTCCATTCAGCTGCTGCATCTGGAGGCATCTCCCAGGCAAGCTCCTTGCCCCATCTCGTTCAGCTTACAGCCTGCTGAAACCTGGAGGGAGGGGTGTTCCTGAATTAGAATTCCCCAAGTAATCTTGCAGATGTGCTCAGGGCTTACCAAAACTATGTTAGCAGTATTCTCAGTAAATAGCAAAGATGTTTTCTATTAATATGAGGACTGGTGCTGTCTGCCTTTTATTTAATACATTGGTGGTTAGAGATGCATCTGCTAACTGGTATGACTGGTTTTACATTGATATGATAGTTGCTGGCAGATCTGCTTTGTCTATCAGACAGTATTTCAAAGATGCTCACCCTGGGCAGTGAACTCACCTTGGCTATAGAGCATTGAGTTCAGGACTTTTGGGGGAAGTCTGAAGTGCTGTGGGAGGGTTTAGCTCCATTGAAGATTTGCTTGTGGGAAGATGTTGGTAATGGGGCCACAATATTGTTACAGTCTTCAGTAAAATTTCTGGGCCTGGAATGAAGGATCCTTTGTCAATTTAAACTGTGTATCTGGCAATTTTGTTATACCCTGGTTTTTCATTGTGTTTTGGTATTTCTCTTGAGGACCAGTGTTCTTGCATGTATGTTACTGAATAAG